AGAGGCTGGGGTCAGCCAAGGTCTTCATGGGGGAGGCTCCCCAACTCCCTAACAGTCCCTCCCCCCCACATACACACACAAAATACAGTTCCATACTTCTCCCACCCACACCAAACAACCCTCCAGGTTCACTCTCAGGCTCCTTCCCTCTCCGTTACTTCCCTCTCCCTGAGCTCCTCGTTACCCCTGACTCCCTCAAGCCTTCACACTGCTTCTGAGAAGTGCAAGAAATAAGTTTCTGTATTGTAGTTTAAATGAATTACTCAACGTTCTGTATTAATATGCCTAGTAAGGAATCTATTTGTCAAAAAAACATTTCCTGAATCTTTTTTGTTGTCTTTATTGTTACAGACATGCTTGCTAACAGGTATTTTGAAATAAGTTGCCAAAATAATTTAAAATGATGCAATTATACGGTGTTATTTTGACAAATAAAATATGCAGAATTTTAAAATATTGTGTGCAAACTTTATTTTGGCGCAGAATTCCTCCAGGAATAAAGAGCGTCTCAGATCAAATCTACAGGCAGGTTTTAACCCATTTAACTTTTAGTTTTTACTACTTTACTCCAGGGGTAATTCTGCACCACTCCACGTAATTCATGTCCCCCACAGATTTCTTTGCTTTCCAGCAGAAAAATGACTTTCTGACAGAGAAGCTGCAAGAGCAGTCATGCACCACTCCCTAGCAGAGCAGGTACATCTTTTCAGGCACCCAGAGCAGCCGGCGGAGAGGTAAATCATAGCGGGGCTGAAGGACACCCCAGCCAGTGGCTCCTACCCTGAGCCGGGATCAGCTGCTAATCCCGGCTGGGCTGAGGCAGGAGAGGACGGGACTGCCTTTTCCCCTGCAAGGAGGTCTGAGACAGCTCCAGACACCACCCCCAGAAACCTCGCCCAGATGCAGGAAGCTCAGCATCCTTCCCTACTTCCTGCCCCCATCACTCCTCAACTGTGAGATGAGTCTCTGTACAGGGAGCTGCTCCCCCATCCACCCAACCCCCTTGCATCTGGACTTCCCATACCCAAACACCCCTGCCAAGCCTCAGCAGGTACATCCAGAACCCCCCTAGCCCTCCATACCCAAACTCCACCGCATTGAACCTCAACCCCTGCATCTGGAGCCCTCTGCAATCAGACCCCCTGCCTCCAAACCCCCATCCCTGCACCCAGCGTACCCCTCACTGAGCTCCTTGCACTCAAACCCCAACTCTGATGTCCCTCCCCCTACACCACCCTGAGCCCCCACATCACTGACCCCAACTAGCTGTACCCAGACCCCTACCCCACCAAGCCCCACTCTCCCAGCACCCAGACCCTTCCGCTGAGCCCCAACCAGCTTCACCTGGAAGCCCTTGCAGACTCCCAGTGCCCCTGCACCTGGAACCTCCCCCCCCCCCCCGTGCATCCATACCCAGACCCCCCACCTAGCTGCCTGCCCCCAGATTGTCCCACACAGAATCCTCTCACCCCACACCTAGATCCCCCCCTAAGCCCCTCCACACTTTGATCCTGCCTGATAGAGCCTGCCTGCCCCACACCTGCTGTGCCTGGAGCAGAGGGGCAGGGCCCCAGGGCTTTTCTAGGGCAGATTCAGGGCTTGTGCTGTGTCAGGATTGGGTGCAGCCTCACCTTTGAGTCCGTGTCCCTGGGGTTGGGGGGGCTGCTGGGTGATCTCCCACCTTCAGCAAGCCAGTGGCCTGTGCTCCCCACTGCCATGCCAGAGCCTCTGTATTTATTTATTGACAAATAAAACTTGCAGAATTTTAAAATATTGTGGGCAGAATTTTTAATTTTGGGCACAAAATTTCCCCAGGAGTACTGCTTGTATTCTCACAGCACCTCGCAGCTCCAGTCACAGACCAACACCTCACTGCACTAACTGATGTACAACACAGAACAAAGAGACAGCCCTGCAGACCCAAGGAGTTTACAACCCAAGTATAAAACAAGAGACAACAGATGGATACAGGCAGACTAGCAAATGAGTCCAAGAAAACCAGAAGACAATATTAGTCAGCATGACAGGCAGCGGACTCAGCACATCAGCAGGGAGTGTTTTCCTACCCAAAGAGTTCAATATGCAATCCTACTGCGGGCTCAGGTAGACTGGTACAAAGCTGCCTTATAATGCTGACGTTTATTCTCTTCAGTTTGCTGGCATAAGCTGTACTGGTATAAGGCACCTCTGTATCAGGATATTGCACCTACACAAGGAAGGAAGTTCACTGCTTCTACTGTATTGGTGTCACACTGATGCACCCGAAGTACCTGCACAGACCAGCCCAAGGAAAGTATGTACAACACACAGCCACGCACCACCCCGCCCCCGTCACACAAAACCCGCCCACCCGAGCTCCGGGGGGCTAAAGCCTGAGCGAGGCTCTCACGCCAGCTCGGCCCCTTGGCAGGGAGGACACCGGCTAAGCGCTGGCAGCCCGGCCGCGCCTCCCCACCGGGGCCAGGCCCGACCCGCGCAGACCGAGCGCAGCCGCAGCGCACACGCGGGCGATGGCGGGGCTCGGCACAGGGGCTGGTCGCGCCCGGGCCGGGCCGCGCGCTCCCAGAGGGAGACGAACCACCAGTCCCCGCCCCCGGGGGGGCGGAAGAGGAGACCCGCCCCCCCCGTGACAGGGTTTGGCCCTGCGCGGGGGGAGGGGCGGGTACCTGGCTTGTACCAGCGCGTGAAGTACCGCTCCGTCACACCCGGCGCCGCGGCCATGCCCGCTCCCAGCCGCCGGCAAGCGCGTCTCCCGCCAGTCACGGGGTTACCGCGAGCCAATCAGCGCGCGAGTCCCTTCCCGGCTTGCAGTCCCGGCGGCGGCGGGAGGGGCCCCTGCCCCTCGGCGGGAAGAGCCGCCCCTCGCTCCGCGTCTCTGAGACACGTGCGATGGGCGGTGCCCGGTCAGCACGTGGCTTCTCGCCCGGGGAAGCGGACACGCCGGTTCAGCGCGGACTCCGCGGGAAGGAAAAGCCGCTGCTGAAAAATCATCAATACATGTTTTAGAGCCGCCATGTTTTCCCCAGATGAGAGAATGAGCAGAGTGTCGGTGCAGATAAAGTGGAGGTAATCCTCTTTGAGCGGGGGAACCACCTAAAGAGTCACAGAGAGTCCTGTGGCACCTTTAAGACTAACGGATGTATTGGAGCATAAGCTTTCGTGGGTGAATGCCCACTTCGTCACCACGTCTGATGAAGTGGGCATTCACCCACGAAAGCTTATGCTCCAATACATCTGTTAGTCTATAAGGTGCCACAGGACTCTCTGTTGCTTTTTACAGAGCCAGACTAACATGGCTACCCCTCTGATACTTGACACCTAGAGAATGTGGCAGGAATTTCTTCTGGCCCAGTGAGTGCTGGAACAAATCATTTTGATGACCCTTTGATGAGCGATAGCAGAATTTGGGGTCTTGCACATCAGTTTCCTGTTTGAGGCAGAACTCAGTGATGCAGAGGCAGGTGAAGGTCAGTGCAATTTGCTTATACACAAACTAAGTTTCCTTGAACGGGGGTAATAAATAACTTACAAGCAACTCCTTCGTGCAGGGATCTCAGGGAAGCACCTCTGCCCTAGCCCCAGAAGCAGCTGTCTTGTGTCTGGTCTCTTTCCAGGCCCTCATCCAAGCATCATCATAGCTTAACAAATTCTGTCTCTTTTCTTCCCACAGCCAGGGCCGGCTCCAGGCACCAGCTTAACAAGCAGGTGCTTGGGGCGGCCAAGGGAGAGGGGCGGCACCTGTGGCAATTCGGGGGCGGCAGGTCCCTCACTCCCTCTAGGAGCAAAGGACCTGCCGCTGAACTGCCGCCGCCGATTGCGGCTTTTTTTTTTTTTTTTTGCTTGGGGCAGCAGAAATGCTGGAGCCGGCCCTGCCCACAGCCACTGTACATTTTACCTGGGAAACACCTAGTTCAGGCTGCTAACCGAGGCTGCACAGGCTGGCCAGGTGGGCATTTACTGTCCTGTTGACCCGTGACTAGGGTTGCCAGGCATCCAGTTTTCCACCAGAACGCCCGGTCAAAAAGGGACCCTGGTGGCTCTGGTTGGCACCACCAACCAGGCCATTAAAAGTCCAGTCAGCAGCGCAGCAGGGGCCAGGGCTAAGGCAGGTTCCCTCCTGCCCTAGCTCCACGTGGCAGAGGTATAGGTGGCCAGGGAGGCTCCGTGTGCTGCCCGCGCCCCGAGTGCTGGCTCTGCAGCTCCTATTGGCTGGGAACTGCGACCAATGGGAGCTGCAGGGGCAGCACCTCTGGGCGCAAGGCCAGTGCACAGAACCTCCCTAGCCACCCATGCACCTAGGGGCTGCAGGGACCTAGCGGCTGCTTCCTGGGAGCTGCGGTAAGCGCCACCGGGACCACGCACACTGAACCCCCTCCAAACACCCCAACCCCAGGCCCCAGCCCGGAGTTCCTTCCTGAACCCAAATTCCCTCCCAGAGCCTGCACCCCCCCCCAACGCCCAGCCCCCTGCCCCAGCTCTGAGCCCCTCCTGCACCCCAAACCCCTCATCCCCAGCCTCACCCCAGAGCCTGCACTCCCAGCTGGAGGCCTAAGCCCCCCGCACCCCAACCCTCTGCCCCATTCCGGAGCCCCTTCCTATACCCCAAACCCCTCATCCCAGGCCCCACCCAAGAGCCCACACCCCCAGCCAGAGCCCACATCCCCTCCCGCACTCTGAACCCCTTGGCCCCAGCCTGGAGCCCTCTCCCAGACCCCAAATCCATCATCCTCAGCCCCACCCCAGAGCCCACACCCCCAGCTAGAGACCTCACCCCTCTGCACCCCAACTCCCTGCACCAGCCTGGTGAAAGTGAGTGAGGGTGGGGAAGAGCGAGCAACAGAGGGAGGGGGATGGAGTCAGCAGGGGCAGGCAGGGCCTCGGAGAAGGGGCACGGGTGGGGCCTCAAGGCAGGGGCGGGGCAGGGTTGTTCAGTTTTGTGTGATTAGAAAGTTGGCAACCCTACCCCTGACCTGGTCTTGGAGGATTTGTAGTTTTGAGTAACATAGAATTCCATTGCTCAGCATGTTTAATGGAAGTTATGAAAGCTGTAATAGCAAGTAGGAGAACAAATAACTGGGTTATTAGGCTTGCTATGATTAAAGGACTGTTGTGATTAGTATGAGACCTTGTGGGAGTAGTAGTTAAAGGCTGGGATTTAGTTGAATAGTGTAGGTCTAAGGAGAATACCCCAGGGCAGATATTTTGCACACCCATTCTGAGAGACAAACAGGTAACCAGAAATGGGTATAGTATACCACAAAATTCTGCAAGAAGGGAAGTTTGGGGGGCTTTAGGAATTAAGATGCTATGCAGTATCTAAGTCATTAGATTATATTTACATATAGGGATTATTAAGAAATAAGTGTTAATAATACTTAATTATGGACACTCCAAAGGCCACATATGGAGGGGGTTAGGGATTGACCAAATTATAATCAGAGTAAAGGGTCAAATATGGTATATATCTGTACAGTTACCATAAAGAAGGGTATAAAAGGCCATATGCAGTTCCCATTTCTTTGGGGTTTGTCAGGTCCCTGAGATGGTGTACACTGACTCAGGACCTCCCTTCTGATGGGCTCTATTTACTTTCCTTTCTATCTTTGCTTCCAATGGTCCACATAAATTGCAAGATTGTAAGTATGAACAATACAGGAAACCACTTGACCTCACTTATCCTATTCTTATATTTATTTTCTATTATTTCAATTATAGTTGTTTGTATTAAATTAAGTTTTTCTGGGTGTTTCACCAAATTCCGTATTCTCAATTAACTCTATGTAGTTGCCTAGGAAAAGAGCCTGTTATCTGTGACAAGTGCATGCTGCACTCTAATGCACACTGTTATAAGTGTAACAATTGCTCAGGCTATGTTCTGTGCAGCTGCTCTGCAATGCAAAGGGATCTCAGCGCTTCACCTGCCAGACACAGTAGAATGCTTTAACCCACATCATGCCCTTGACAACTTTCTGGGTGTAGTCACTGCATAGCAGCTTAACACTTTCTATGGGGAGTGACAGCCTGGGAGTTTATATAGCAGTGACCTCTAATGGGAAAGCTATAAAAGCCTTGATTGTGGGACAAAACCTAGAACAGTGTCTGCCTGCTCCCCCAAGATGGCCAGCATCCTTTTAAGTATTTTAGGAGAGATTTATACTAGTCGGGTTTTAATCAGTAGATAAGGAGCTATATTGTATATGGGAAGGTGTAGTGAGGCGGCTGCCCCACTCCAAGGGGATAAAAGGAGTGAGCGCAGCTGAGGGGGTAGCTGACAACAGGTGTGGCCAGCCAGTTAGGGCCCAGCTGACCCTGATAAGAGGGCTGGGGGCCAGGAGCTGAAAGAGTCTCTCTCTAGCTTTGGAGAGAGATGGACCTAGCTGCCTGAAGGAGCAAATGGTACCTTGGACAGGGCAGTGCTGGGGAAAGGCAAGAGGAGCTGGGGAGCTCCAGCCTGGCCCAGGCACCGAGCCAGGACATCTGCAAGTCAGCGACTTGGTCCTCGGTGCATACTTTCGCCTCGCACTACGCCATTGTCTGGCACACCAGAGATGACGTGGCTTTCAGTAGAGCGGTACTCCAGTCAACATTCCTTCACACAGACTCCACCGCCTAGGTAAGGCTTGGGAGTCACCTAATTGGAATCGATATGAGCAAGCACTCAAAGAAGAAAAAATGGTTACTCACCTGCATGGATGCTGGACATGATCCAGGAGGAAATTCTTTGAGAGAAGACCAGGAGGCCCTTCATCCGGTCCGCCACCGCAACGAAGAGCTGGGTCGATTTCCTGAACGGCTTAGTGTGCTCGATGTAGAAAGCTAGGGCCCTGCGGACATCGAGGGAATGCAGCTGCTGTTCCCAGGGACCAGCATGAGGTTTCGGGTAAAAAACGGGCAGGAAAATATCCTTGCTGGTATGAAAGGCTGACCCCACTTTGGGGGGAGAGGCCGGGTGTGGTCTAAGTTGTACCTTATCCTTGTGGAAGACTGTGGAAGGCGGTTCCGAAGTGAGGGCCTTTAGCTCGGAGACACGTCTCGCTGACGTAATGGCGACCAGGAAAGCTGTCTTCCAGGAAAGATACAGGCGGGAGCACATTCCCAGCAGTTCGAATGAGGGCCCCATGAGTCGCGAAAGGACTAGGTTGAGGTCCCACACAGGGACAGGTTGCCGGTCTGAGGAAAGAGACGGTCCAACCCTTTGAGAAAGCAACCAACCATGGGGCCGGCGAAGACAGAGCGGTCAGACGCGCCCGGGTGGAAGGCCAAGATGGCAGCGAGGTGAACCATCACGGAGGACGCCACCAGGCCTTGCTGCTTCAGGTGCAAGAGGTACTCCAAAATGAAGGGCACCGGCGCCTGGAGGGGTGGTGTGCGGCGCTGGTCACAACAACACGAAAACCGTTTCCACTTCGTCAGATACATGGCTCTAGTAGAGGGCTTCCTGCTGCCCAGCAGGACCTGCCTTATGGGGTCTGAACACAGAAGCTCCGTGGGGTTCAGCCATGCAGCATCCACGTCCTCAGGTGGAGGAACCGCAGGATTGGATGACAGAGGTGACCGTGGTCCTGAGTGAGCAGGTTGTGAAGGAGAGGCAACGGGACCGGAACGTCCACCGACGGCTCTAGCAGTGTGGTGTACCAATGCTGGCGAGGCCCCACTGGAGCTACCAGAGTCACCCTCGCCCCGTCCCTGTGGATCTTGAGCGGGACCTTGTGCACGGGGGGGGGAACAGAGGAAAGGTGTAGAGCAGGTGACCTGTCCAGGGAAGCAGGAACGTGTCTGTGAGGGAGCCCGGGCTGTGACCTTGGAAGGAGCAGAATGCTGGGCACTTCCTGTTGCTGCGGGTGGCAAACAGGTTGACCTGGGGAAACCCCCACCTTTGGAAGATAGGGTGGACGACATCCAGTCGGAGAGACCACTCATGCGAGTGGAAGGACCTGCTGAGGTGGCTCGATCACCAGAGCCGACAGTGCTGACTGTCGGATCAACACCGTCTTGCCTCGAGATGGTGCCAGTCGCTGGGGCACCGGAAGCTTGCCGTGGAGCAGAGGGGACCCCGATGCCGTCATGGCGATGAGGACCCTCGCAGCCGCAAAGGTCTCCGGGGTGAAAGGCAGCTGGATATCCACAACACTGCGGGTTGGGGAATCCAGTGGAACCGGACTCAACAGTTCCCCCAGTGGGGCCGAAGTCAATGGTGCCACGTCCCCGACCTTCGCTCCCGGACGCTCCCCTCCAGGATGCATCACAGTGGCTGGCTCCAGGGGAGTGGGTCTCTATGCAGGAGAGCCACCCATCTCTCTCTCGGGGCTGCTTTGGTGCCAGGGAGTGGGAGCGGTGCCGAGTCGATGTGGCCAGCTTTTGGTACCGGGGAGCAGCGGTGCCGCAGGTCTCGTCCAGAGTCCAACCGCAGTGCCACCTCCACTACTGCCGCCGGGGTCCTGTACACCAAAGAACTCGGTGCCAGGTCCTGCCGCACCAAAGAGGCTGGGGACTAAATGCCGCCTCCATAAGTAGCTGCTTCAGGCGAAAGTCCCGCTCCTTTTTAGTCTGAGGATGAAATCCCTTGCAGGTCCTGCACTTCTCGGCTTGGTGAGCCTCCCCCAGACACTTCAGACAAGAGTCATGGGGGTCGCCCGTTGGCATGGGCTTGGAGCAAGACCTGCAGGGCTTGAATCCTGGGGACTTGGGCACGAAGCCCCGAAGAAGAACAGTCGGGTTAGAGGGTAACTCCCAACCCAACTGCCACTAACTAAAACAAAAACAAGAAACTACCAACAAAAACAAACAACTATCTACTAAAGCTAGGGAAAACGTGGAGAACTTGCAGAGCAAGATGCCACAGTTCCAATGACCGTCACGGGTCATATATTGAGCGCCATGCAGGTGCCACTCCAGGGGGCTCCACAGCCGACTCGACGGATGCTGCTAGGGGAAAATCTTTCCAACGGCCATGCACGCGGCGCACGCACACCTAATTGGAATCGATATGAGCAAGCACTCGAAGAAGAACTACCCACTTTGTGGAGGGTGGAGATGCTGAAAATAGGGAAGACCAGATTAACTGGCTCATAAGGAGAAGGAATTAATGGTGACATGCTCCAGACTTTCCTACTCTGTCCTCTTGCTAAAAAAATAAATACATTGAAAATGACTGAACCGGCTGTGGGAAATCCCAGGAGGAATCCTTGCTTCTTAACAAACCTGCCTCTGGCAGGGACCACAGATCTTGAATCTTGGTCCCCAATAACCTTAAGAGCTAGGCAGGCTAACCTCCCACCCAATGAGCTTCTAACAGCTACTAGACTAGCAGTTGAATGCTAGAAGAGGACTGTAGAGCTGGGATTTGATTAGTGCAACTTCTGATTGGTCCTCAGCCTCTGTGTAACCCAAGCACAGGAACTGGAAGTTGTCCATGCAGCTAGGGTCTCCCTGATTTGGAGTGCTTTTACTGTCTGCTGCTGATCTCCTGGTAATCTGACCCTGCCTGCCTCCTGACACCTGACTCTGTTTGCCATCTGGCCTGTCTCAGACTCTGACCTCCTGGTATTGCACCCAGCCTGACCCCCACCACTTGACTGCTCACGTCCTGGTTGTGACAGCCTCTGGTTGAATTACAGCTTCACACAGGTATGAGACCTGGCATGCCAGGCCAGTCTGACTCTGCTCTAACAGAGGCAGAGCACAGCTTGCCTTCTGAAGCTCCCGAAAAGCTGCCTTATAAATATAGCACAACTTGGGCTTGGCTCAATGCTTACAGGGCTTCTCTGCCATTGGACTGAGGAAAGAGGAAGCCAATTAAAGACGGTAACCCAAAGGATTAAAGCCCCAATACTGTGGTAATTTCTCAGCTGAGGAGAGAGAGAGCAGAGCTAAAAGTGAAATGAAGTCACTACTACACAAAAATGAATAAGAATTAAAATTATAAACCAAAATGGTGAGGAAAAAATGAGCCACCAACCCTGCTGCCAGAGGCAGAATTTCCAGAAGCCTGATCTGAGGGGCAGTGCTTAGTTTTGGAACTCCCAGTAATAATACTGGACCTCCACTATATTCCATAGGTGAGTGGCATTGCCATTCATAAAGAGTAAGGGGAGAAGCTGTGTCTCAGAATATAGAGCTGTCCTAAGAAAAATGAAACAGCAGCTTTATGACAGATATGAAATTTCCCCATTTGTGGCAGTTATATGTCAACTCTGATACTTTCAAAGTAAGATTGTCAACTAAAGCATGTAATTGCTCATGGAAAAATACATGTCTCATTTAGCATACATAATTACTGCAGTGGTGCACTGAAATCAGGTAATTCCATATGTAAGAATTTGGATCAAATAAGTAAAGGGTAGAATTAGCAGTAGTCCTAAAATGACCCTGCTTAATTTTCCACTTAGTAAGGCTGAATGTGAAGTAATTTTAACTAAAATTGTAATTATACTTGCTTTTTGTGCAAGCCACTTATCATCAGTGGGCAATCTGCTTGTATATGCCTCTGACTTAGTAGCCCCAGCTCACACCACATACGTAAAAATATAGTTAAGGACAGGGCCTGGAATGCTTTTGACATTGTTCCAGATCATAACCATGAACGGTGGAAAAAATTGCAGCCATCTGCATAAAGTTGCTCTTATGGTAACTTGTGTGTGTGTTTTTATTATATTTATATTATACTGCAGTCCAATGCTACAAAATATCTCAGCATGGAACACTTCATTATATACAGTGATATACGAAAAAGCTAAACATAATTTAGGCTGCAAAAGCAAGCACTCATAAGGTAGGAAAAGCCAGACTTATGGTTGCCCGTCCAACTTTAATTCTGCCTATTTGCAAGTCCATCCTCTGCCCTGAATAAGGCAAGGGTCCTGTGCAATAAATAGTATATGATCATGTAATTAAAGACTGTATCATAATGCAAACACATAAAGAAGCTGAATGTGAACCAGTTACATTTATCAGTCATAGGAGTCAGTCAAAAAGACTTGGACAAAGAAACTGCTCTGGATGACTGGGTCTCTATATGGGAAAGGGGAACAGAACCAACTCTCATTCTCCTGGCCAGCCTCAATTGTCCTGTGGTGTCCAGCAGACTCCCAAATCTGGTCCTCCCTCTCTCCTGAGGGGGTCTTGGCCCAATTACCATATTGCTCCATTGTTTCTAGCATGCAAAGCCTCTTGGTGCCTGAGACTATTATTCCCTGGCCCCAGGGAGCATGCAGTAGGGCCCATCCACGAGAATGCACCTGACATGGCTGCTCCGTTGTTTGGACAGTTAGACCTGTTCAGTCTCAGCATCAATATGTAGCCCTGGTGTTGCCCCTAACCCTCCTTTCTGTCCACACAGAAAAACCTCTAACCCAGGCTTGAGGACGCTTTAAACCAGAGCTGGCAGGCATGGCTGATGGTATAGGCTTGCACTTAGGTTTTGGTTCAGCCCAGGCTGGCAACCCACTGATTTTGCAGTGAGAATGCAGGCTAATCAAGCACCTGTGCTCTTAGTCCTCCATTCCTATCTCATAATTACCCACCTAAACTGTACTCTGTTTAAAGCTTCCCTTGATCTGCATTGCATTTTAACCCCATGTTTGCCTGCTCCATTTCTGCTGCACTTCCACAACATTTGGACAGAGATTCTATCCAAGAAATACTTCTCCCATGCTTCAGTTGGCCAGAAGCTGACACCAGCTGGTAAAGCTACGGTGTGATAACAGCATGACCTATAATTTGAGGAAATGTACACAAAATAACATTTTTATGTGCAGTGGGCAGGAAGGAAAGAGAGGCAGAGATGTCAGTTGGGTGCACTATGACTCACAATGTGACTTGCAAACTGAATTCCTTAATGACATTTTCAGTAAAAGTTCTTGCTGTTTGCTTTCTTCTTCCAAACTGTCTACATTAATAAGCAACACCACTTGGAAGTTTAAATCAAGGATTGTTATGTCACTGTCACAGACAGCAGCTCCATACTAGCTGAAAGTGAGAGCACATTAAGAATGAATTCAGAGCAGGTCAGTTTAATGCACCGCTTAGAACCAGGGGATAGCTCACCAGAAAACCATCTCAAGACACAGGCTAGTACAGCAGCATTGAGGACCCAGTTGCACAGGTTTGCCACAGGTAGTA